GTAGCACACTTCACCTTCTTCGCTTCCTTGCTGCTTTTGCGCCTGAAAGAACGTCGCTTCTTGAAGCCACCTCGGCGTGTCCTCACGCCACGCGGCTGATCGTTGGGCTCGGCCTCCAACCACGCGCTCTCCTCCGCCAACAAAGCTGGCGTGAGCACGGTGCTTTCAGCCACCGGTGCCTCCGAAGCCTCACTGGCTTTCTTGGCACCTTTGCTTGAAGATGCCTTCGCCTTTGCTTTTCCCTTGGCTTTCGCCTTTGCAGACGCCTTGGGGCCTGCACGTGCTTTTCCACGCGGCCTGCCCGGGCCCCGCTTCTTAGGCTCAGCCTGCTCATCATCATCAGCAGCGGCATTGCTGCTCTTCAAAGCAAGCTGATCGCTTCTGGTGAGAACCTCAACCACACAACGAAATCACTCATACGACCGAAGCTCACCAAAACCCTGCATCACTGCTTTTGTGGGATTTCTGGGTTGAGCTGGGAATATCACAACCATGCAATGCATAAGTCGAGTTAGGGAACTTTGCTCGGCGGGGACAAAGCCATGAACTTGTGCTCCTTGTTCACTTTGGCTGAAGAAGAAGGTGGCACGGCCTCCGAACCCTGGGCGCTGGTATCTGGAAAGAGCTCCCGGGGCTTTGGGGGGGACGCGGTTCCGGAGTTCATGGCCATGATCAGCTTCTCCTCATCCCACAGTGGCTCCATCAGCGCTTGGGTATCCGGGTCATACGTCAAGGTCTCTTGGTTGTCAACACTGACACTGGGAGCACACTCAAGCGGGGGAGCGGAGCCATCGTCATCCGAATCGGCAATGACTTCAGGAACAGCTCCTTTGAAGCACTGAAAAGCAAACACGAAAAAATTAAAGACCATCAATAAACGAAATTTACGGAAAGCCCCACATATAATGACAAGTAGCTCGTGACAGTGACCGTCTTTGCCATGTGACGCTTCCTGGAATAGAAAAATACACCGAAATCAAAATGTCTGCGTGCTACAATCATGAAAGACAGGCTGGGCATACGATTCATCAACAAAGCCCTCAAGGAACAAATCATGTCGCAGCAAAGCTTCACAAGTTGGGCTTTCAGCTTGGCCCGGCTCATTGCAAGCTTGGCTTCCAAATCGGCCAAGAGTGGTCGGGCAACCTGCCTCTGTGATGACATTGCATCCTTGCACAACGCATCCTTGCGAACCACCTTAGCCTTAGACCTTGAACGTTGGTCCATAGTCGTGGCCACAAGCCGCGAACCCGAAGATGCTGAAGCCTCACTTTCCATTGCCACCCGCCCCGAAGGTTCTGAAGCCTCACTCGTCAATGCCACGGGCCCCGAAGATCCTGAAGCCTCCGTCTCCATTGCTGGTCGCCCCGAAGATCCTGAAGCCTCCGTCTCCATTGCTGGTGGCCCCGAAGATCCTGAAGCCTCACTGACAATTGCCAGCTGCCCCGAAGATTCTGAAGCCCGACTTTCCACTGCCATCGCCAGCCCCGAAGATCCTGAAGCCTCAGTCTCCATTGCCACCAGCCCCGAAGATCCTGAAGCCTCAGTTTCCACTGCCGCCAAATGCTCGCCAACATCAGCATCTTGAACAAGCCCTGCGTAACAGAAGAGCTGGTTAGCCTGCATATCAGCTGTGGTCATTGGAAGAATCCGGGGCCCTGCTCCGGTTTCCACTGCCACCGGCTCTGAATTCGAAGCCACGGCATCGGCAATCGGCGATGCAATCGAAATGTCATCGTCTGATGACTCTCGACGAATGATGCTGTGCCCTGCCTTGATTGCACTGCACAAGTTTAGATCAAACCAAACACCACACACACACGAACAATTTTAATGATCAAAGTCTGTAGCTGAAATTCCTTGAACGATTATCAAGGAACAGCAAGTGCAGCTTCGCAGATGCTATCGTACATCGCAACCAACTTCTTCACCTTCTCGTCCTACAACATACGGTTGACTGCACTGACTACGAATCTATCTGAATCGATCGATGTACAGTCTGCATAACAATATGACAAATGAATGAATGCACCCCTCGCGGTCCTTCGGAATCTCGTTGCGGGCCCACTTTCTTCTCAAGAAAGTCAAGCATCGCTTGGCACTCCAAGCATCACGGTGCGCAAAACACAACAAAGCTGACTTGTCAGGGAAATTTGCCATCTCGAGAAATTCCTTGCATGCATCACTGAGGCCGTCGATGGGAGGTGTCTCCACTGTGAGGCATTCGTGCATGAGCTTTAAGATACACATGAGGGCCTCGAAGTTTTCGGAGCAGTCCTTCAGGTTGCCTGAGCATTGCGTTTGCCCCGCAACCGTCGAGGCAAACACTGCCTGCCCACGCGCTGCGTGCATGCGCAGCTTCCGCTCATTCTCCCAAATCCCCGCCAATTTGGACAGGTCTGCATGTCTTTTGACCATGGCTAGCCAAACGTCGATCTCAAAATGATATCTCTAGCTGCGCAACAGCCCAAATGGCTCGTGAGAAAAGAGTTGCATGGAAATCAGCAATGCTTGAAACGATGAAATCTTTCATAAGTGCTCAAAAGCCAATCAAGCTGTAAGCCTGACCGATGTTGCCGTACTCCATCACCCCTATTTGGTATTCCTACCAGAAAAGCTCAACCCTATAGCCTATATAGTAAAGAAATCCTAGGCTCGAATCCTTTTATATAAGATCGACTTAAACTTAAACCCTATACATATAGTAACCCTTAACCCCTAAACCCTGAAGGCCCTTAAACCTCGAATCCGAAACACTGAATCCTTAAGGCCTATAACACAGCCCCTTAAGACGAAGCCCGAATCGGGCCTTCCCAAGGCCAAAGATGACCCCACGACGGCGCACGTCCTGCGCAGCGAAAAATGGGGCTTAGAGGGATATTGGGGTTCCATATATTCAGAAAGTATCTGCTGAGTGTAGGTTCTAGGACTCGGAAAGAAACCTCCGATTTCAGAAAGCGAGATCTTGTTTATGCAATCATATCCCATGGGTCTCTGATTATCCGATATAAAGCTGCATTCTTCCCGCCCAAATCCCATTCGGTCCTCTCGATCGAAGTGGTGCACCAGCAGAATCAGGACCCAGAGGTCGTTCGTTCCATTTCAGCTTGGAAGCTGTGCTTCGACAAAGGTTGAACTTATCTTCATGCATAAAGTCAATATCACCAAGTCTGAACCATCCTTGTATTGATCTTGGGTTTAAGATCACTGGTAAATACGGGATGTAGGGTTTGCAGAAAGTCTTATATTCATAAGATAGGAAATGTCCAGCAATTCGGGGCATCCTGTGCTCTTGAGACCAGATCTTTCGACCATCGTGCGATGCCAAGTGGAAGCTGGACCTCCTAATCTGTCTTCGATCAATCACCAAGATATTAGCCTGAATCAACCCCCCCAAAAACCCTCAACACCCTGGATTCATTGGTTTTTGCAGGCGTTCTGCTGTTTACGGGCGTGGGTGTCTAAAACCGGTATTTAGCATCATAGCAATACATAACCCAGTTATTACGAAATAACGCTTTATTAAAAGTCGTTTGCTGTCATAGGTATATATATATACATACACATTTTATGCATATACATACATACATACATACATACATACCAACGTACGTACATACACATACGTACGTACGTACACAAACGAACCTACGTACGTACCTACATACATACATACATACATACATACATACATACATACATGCCTACGTACTCACTCACTCACTCAATCACTCACTTGCTCGCGTACTTGCATACATATGCATACATATATATATATATATATATAGACAGACAGACAGAGAGAGAGAGAGAGAGAGAGAGAGAGAGAGCGACAGAGAGAGAGAGAGAGAGAGAGACAGAGAGAGAGAGAGAGAGCGAGAGAGAGAGAGAGAGAGAGAGAGAGAGAGAGAGAGAGAGAGAGAGAGAGAGAGAGAGAGAGAGAGAAAAAGAGAAAGAGAGAGAGAGAGAGAGATACGTATATAATACACATACATACGTATACATACACAAACACACACACACACACACATCTGAGTAAGGGGGGAGGTGAAACATTCGAACAGGTGACCATAGTAAAGCATGAGTGTGGGTCGTCCGGAGCGCGACACCCACGATCTGCACAGAATCCCTTGTGGAACCCCCAAACCAGTCCCGACCGAAACACTTGCAAGCAAGGGATCTATAATAGGGTTCTATAAAATAGGGGCCTTAATAATTGGAATATAGGGTTCCTTCAAAGCGATCCTTAACTGGGGTCTGTAAGGGATCTATACTAGGGTTCTATATTATAGGGGCCTTAATCATAAGAATAGGGTTCTGGTGCCCATTATACTATAGTTATAATAAGGAACCCCCAACACAGAGTGTTGGTAATCCTTTAGGTCCCTATAGAGACCCTTGCAGGACCCCTTAAAGGAACCCTGAAGCACCGGATCCCTTAATTCAAAGGAATTTGATTACACTCAAGTCTTGCGCTCAGCTTTAGAGCGAGTTTAAAGAAGAGGCATCAAACACTCTATACTGAACTTAGAACCCTAGCAAAAAATATAAATTTAGCTGTTTCTTAGGGATTATAATTATAATAACCAAAAATTCGAAATTTCTCTAAGTGCCCCTAAGTACTGGCTAATTGGCTTACATGCATCGCTCTAGACTCCAGATTCGAGATATTGACAGGGCTTGCCAGCAGAACCCAAACTGATTCCAATAAAAGATAAGAGTTGCCCTTTTTTGAGGGTAAGCTCTCTTACAGCCATGGCCTCGGACCCTCAACCTAAAAGAAACTACACTTAGACTAAACCCTAAACCTAAAAGAAACTACACTCAAACTACACCTTAGACCCAACAGAAACTACAATTTTACACTTAAACTAAACCCTAAACCCCAAAAAGAAACTACACCTAAACAAAACCCTAATCCCTAAAAGAACTACACTCAAACTAAACCCTAAACCCTAAATAAACTACACCTAAACTAAACCCTAAACCGCAAGCATGGCCTCGCACGTTGCCCACTGCCGGAAAGGAGTTGCAGGGCGAGGAGAGGATCTTTTCCTTGGGAAATTTTCCCAGACCCCCTGGGTATCTATGTTTCCAGAACCCCCCTTCAAGGGGTTCAGGGTTTAGGGGTTTAGGGTTTAAGGGTTTGGTGGTTTAGGGTTTAGACCCCCAGGGGGATCCAAAAAAGTAGATCCCTTTTTGTGGGTTCCTATAAAGTACCCTTAATAGTAATACTTACCTATGTTCCCAGAACCCCCCCTTCAAAAAAGGTTTAGGGTTTAGGGGTTTCGGGGGTTTGGGAGTTTAGGGGGTTTGGGGTTTAGACCGCCGGGAGGATCCAAAAAAGTAGATCCCTTAATGGGGGTGCCTTTAAGGGCTCCTTTAAGGGGTCTGTAGGGTTTTAGGGTTTCGGGCTTAGGGGAGGATCCAACACTGTAGATCCCTTTTTGTGGGGGGTTCCTATAAAGTACCCTTAGTAGTATAGGGCTCCAAAATAGGGGATCTACTTTCTAGATCCTCCCGGGGGTCTGGGTTCTTTCGAAGATCCGTTAAGGATTTAGGGATCTAAAGGCCAAGCGTTCGGTGGGTCGTTTCCTTCAGATTGTGTCCAAGGCTCCTTTGGGATTCAGGGTTTAGAGGAAGTTGATCTCTTTTCGGATATCGTGTTGAGCCTTTGGAATTGGCAGACAGATGCTCGACGGCTTCGGCTTTGCTAAAAGATCGTTTCAGGGGTAAGGGTCGGATATGCGTGGAACATCCCCTAGCATTTAGGGCTGTTTTTAAAGTTAGGTTGACGGGCTTCTGTGTGCGTCTGCCCGAGTCAGCTTTTAGGGCTTTAGCGCTCAGGGTTTAAGGGTTCTACGGTTGATGGTACAAATCCTGCATTACCTTAAGGACCCTAAACTATGGGTATTTTGGTATATTCCTTCTTGTGGGTAATGCAGGATTTATATCATCAACCGTAGGGTTATAAGTCCCCCAATGCAAGTTATAACCATAGCTATCCTACTTATAACCTTGCTTATAACTACCCATGAACCTCCAAGTAGGCGTCAAGTCTCTCCAGCCAATCCTAGTGATAAAGACCGACGAGCTGAATTTGGGTGCCTTCTTTTTCCGAACCCTAAACCCTAAACCCCAAAACCCTAAACCCTGAACCGTCGAAGTTTGTTGGATACGGATAGTTTCATGATGTTCAGGAGCCCTACGGAGCCTAGACCCAAGAGTAACGAATAAAAAGGGTGCCCTTTTTGGTTTAAAGGGGCTTATAAGGGAACCTAAATCCTAAAACAGGGAATAAGGGCCTACTCTGGGTCCTAGTTTCGAACGAAGTTTGTTGGATACGGATAGTATCATGATGTTCAGGAGCCCTTCGGAGGAATGGCATCGTATGATGGGTGTCTATTTCAACAGCCCCTGAACGATTATGTTTATTCAGGGCTCATGTAGAAACAAAAGGGGGATTACAAGTTATCTCAAATTGATATCCAGCTAATATTGAACATTGGTTCTTCTGGCCCCTAGACTACTGTGAAGCCCAGCGTCCCAAACGATCTGCCCCGACGACAGGTCGAAGGCACGCGCCACACCTGGCCGGTTGCCCCGTTGAGGGGCTTATTCGGCTTTTGCCACAGCTACAAAGCCAAAGAGCACTAGGTGCTGTTTTGGCTATTTTGTATACTTGGAGCCCTCGGGATTTTATGGGGGGGTCATTGGTAATATGGCGGCCTGAATCATTACAATCGGGATTCGGGGGCAAGAATTGCTTCATTGAAAATAGGATCATCTGGTATTAAATTATGCAGACCAATCCGCAAGACTCAAACCGTGCAGATTTGGGAAGAGAGGTAAATATCGGGGTTTGAGATCTGGAGCTTGATGTTCAAATAATACTTATCTCTTCAAAGACCAGCACAGGTGATCTTCAAATTGCAACCGCCATTCACTCACAGACTCCTCAAACACCGTTCAGGGTTAAGGGTTAACGGTTTAGGGATGTTTAGGGCTAGGGCTTCAGTAGGGTTTTGGGCATACTCTTGGTCACTCAAGCTTGAACATCGCAAGCTTCACACAAACTCTGCAAGCGACTGGGCTTTGTCCGGGTGCCACTTGCACGTGTTGCCCGCTGCTACTTCTCAAAGCTATACCATGCTTCAGCTGAAGACTTGCAGTTCCATTCTCGACCCGCACTTTGACAGATACCAGGCCAGTTGCGAGGCACCATCCCAAAAGCAGCGAGCAAGCTGCAAGAAACTTCAGCTTCATGGCCCGTGGACCCACAATCGTAATTCGAGTGAAATACTACTCTGTGAAACGCGTGAAATTAACACGAAAACAGTGTTCAGGAAGGTCGGGTTAAACATACTCCGAAAAACCTAGGCCAAGAACAAGATTGTAATCGAGAACATCCGAATTCTTCGAGCTATGCGCCTTGGTGCAAAGTCACACGTCCAAGCATTACTTGGAGGTTCATGGGTAGTTATAGGTGGGGTTATAAGTCGCCTAGTATAGGTTATGAGTATATAGTTATCCTACTTATAACCCTACTCATAGCTACCCATGAACCTCCAGGTATGAAAGCCTGCAACCTAAAAGCCGAATCTCAGAAGGAGCTTCGGAATTACAGCTTACGGCACTTGGAGTAAGTAAGGTTAGAAGCAGTTACCTTAATTGGGGTTATAAGTAGTTATAAGTAGAGTTACCCGAATTATAAACCTAGTTACTAAGTCCCATGATCCTTTAAGTAAGGATCTGGGTCCCCGTAAACTTGCTTCCGCACTGATGAACCCACAAAGGCATTAAGAGCGTGAGCATCGTAAAGCCCTTCTAACATCATTGTAAAACCCAAGTATGAAACGTTTTGCAGCCCTGCAAAAGCTCTTGCAAGAAAAACAAACTCGAATAGTAGGCCAAGAAACATATCTGCAGATCCCTGAAAATGAGAGCTACTGTAAGCACAAAAAAACTGAAAACACCCAAACCCTAAGACGGAGCGTGCACTATGCTTGCTTCAGTCGGCCTAGTGAGCCTTCCTGCCCCATTGCGACACCGTAGTTGCTGCACCTGGGTTTGAACTTACGACTCCCATTTTGTTAAGTTCAGGTTTGGGGATTATTGTGGGAGGGGTGTTTAGAATAGCGTGTGTTCCAATATTCAGGGGTTTAGGGTTTGGGGTTTCGGGCTTCATACGCTTGAGGGTTGTCAGGCTGACGTGAATCTGCATGAGGTGGAGGCTGAACCCGCAACCTGCCTCTTCAAGGGCGCTGTCAAGGAACTCGCTAACAAGGTCGGTTGCTTAGGGTTCACGTAAACCCTACAGTGTAGGGTTGTGTAACACACCCACTATGCCCAAATTCCTAATACCCAAAAGCTCCATACACAACTTGCAAGACCCTGTACAGAAAATTTACCGAAACCCTAAACCCTAAACCCTAAACCCTTAACCCGAAACCCTTAAAGGAACCCTTACAGGAATCCTTAAAGGAATCCTTTTAAGGAGCCCTTAACGGAATTTCCTTCTGGAACTCGTAGACGGTGCTTAGACAGAGCCTCAGCAGGGCCGAGCCCTTCAGATGGGTAGGACTTCTTGAACTTGTACTTTGTAAGGCTTTGTTAGTTTCTATACAGGCATACGTATATATATATATATATATATATATATATATATACAATATCTACTTGTCTATGTATATATATACACACACATAAATATGTGTGTATATATATATATATATATATTATATTATATATATACATATATATATATATATGGGTCTGATGAGGCCCCTTTCTGGGGATTACAAGGTTTTTCGACCACTTTACGGGACATTAGAAGAGCCTTTCGGTATGCGTAGTTAAAATTGTCTTAGGGCATCAGAATACAACGACTTACTATCCTAAATCCAACCACTCGCTTAGCGGAAGGATACTTGGGACCGTATGCGTCCTGAAAAACCCAGGATGCAACTGTCTATGACATAACCCGCTGGCCTCTGGGCTTATGTAATTCCCACAGCACAAATGCAACAAAAAAACAGTTAAGGAGAGCACTAATGTAGGAACCTGGTTAAGAAACCTTGGGACCTTCTTAGGGTTCTTAATATGGATCCGAATGATTTGGGGGGTTATGGGGTCAGGGATTCTTAACCAGGTTCCTACATTACTGAACCTGGGCCCGCTTCCACTGCCGCCGAGAGCGCGCATACACTTTGCCGTTCTGGCCCAATGTCGGCCCACCGTCCGAAAAGGACCTTGCAAGCCATGGTCAAAGATTCGCAGAAAGCGGTTTCGGGCTCGGGGTTTCTCGAGGCCAAAGATTCAAGATGGCTTAAACCCGAAAGCCTATACACCCTGAAACCCTGAACCCCTAGAGCTGACGCAGTTCCCGTTGACCTACAGCCTACAACCCAATCCTTTGCTACGGTGCCTGACCTGATAAACGCCTGATGAACTTCCCCCCCACCCCACCCCCCACCCGTTTTTTCAGCGATGTAATACTGTGTTGGGATCCCATTATACTCCTGTTTAAGGGAAGGGGCTCATCAATCAGACACCGGGAAATCAATGCTTCAATTCTCAGAAGAAAGTAGGAATTATCAGCGCGCTTTTGCAAAACAAATCGTAGCAGCTCTCTAGACCCCCGGTAGCCGAACCTGCGCCCTTGTCCAGGTTGAAGAGGGTTTTTGGGGGACTACTTTGAGGTTCATGGGTAGTTATAAGTTGGGTGATAAGTAGGGTAACTATACTTATAAACCATATTAGGGGACGTATAACCCCACTTATAAAACTACCCATGAACCTCCAACTACGATCAGTATCAGACGGTATATCGCTGCCTGAGGCTCCAGTCATATCAATGCGGTCCCGATTCTGTTCAGCTGCCATGAACATGTACAGGTTCATTTTTCTGCTCAAAGCAAGCCCGGCCTAGACAGAAACCCCAACTAACCTGCAAATCCACGCCATAAAACGCCCCCCTTAAAAAAGGACACACTTGAATCCGCGGACAAACTGGAATCTCAACCGACAACACTGACATACTCAACCCTAAGCCCCTCGACCAAGAACCAAGCCATAATCTCCCTCTTCTCACGCATACACAAACACACAACCGAAAAAAACCTAAATCCCCAAACAAGGCTAAAGTCTAAACCCTCACTCAGAAGACCTCACACCCGAAACCCGACACGCTAACTCCCTGAACCCTGTACCCTAAACCCCTAAAGTGCCACGGCGCGGGTCGGAGTTGGGTGCTGGGGTCTTCCACAGCTCCTGGCCAAGGTCTCGCCGGCTCCAAGTATCCCAAGGGTTTACAAGCGGTTTAAGGTTTAGGGATTTAGGTTTAGGGTTTGAGGTTTTGCAGAATCTCGTACAAATTTTGACGGGATTTGTGGCTTTAGGTTCAAAATGCTACACCAGGGATACCCTGTTCTTGGAGTTGCATTGCTTAACCCATTGGAGTCTGTGGGACTTGCTGACTTTTTCGCTGCGACGTTCTGATACTCAAAGGATCATGGGACTTAGTAACTAGGATGATAAATAAGGTAACTCTACTTATAACTACTTATAATCCCGATTAAGGTACTTATAACCATACTTACTAAGTCCCACGATCCTCCAAGTACGGTTCAGGGTTTCGCATTGCTGGCTTAGGGTTTAACGATGCGCGGCGGCGCGACGACGCACGAGAATGAATTAGCCTATGATGTATGCTGTGGAAGAGGGGTTTCTACAACCCCTACGCTTTGTTTACTACGAGGAAGGTACCCTTCCTGGAGCGCCTCCACATCAAAGACCTCAACTAAAGCCTTGCAGAACACCAACGCCGACCTTAACCCCAAGTAACCTACCTTTTTAAGGACGTATATAAAGAAATCATATTAGGGAACCCTAAAAAGGCAGGTTCCTTAGGGTCCAGGTACTGATAGGTTGGAGCATGCACTGCTTTACGGTTGCCTAGGCTTTGGTCATGTGCCGGCACTGTTCTTCACCAGGCTAGAGGAGATTGAGCTTTTGCATCCTTGCCAAGTTTTGGAGATCTGGGGTTTAAGGTTTAGGGTTTAGGGAGTTTGGGCTTTACAACCTTGCCGAACCAGTGGCTACTCTCTGTCTCCATCTTGCTCTCTATCTCTCTCTCCCTCTCTTTCTCTGTCTCGCTCTCTCTCTCTCTCTCTGTCTCTCTCTCTCCCTCCACGGGGTGCATTGTGCCTGTGTCTGGCTGCACGTCTTTGCATGCCTGTCTGTGTGCGGATCAGCATGCACTGCTTGTACATACATGTCAATGTATATATATATATATATATATATTTTGCATGTAGGCATCACGTATTGTAATACAAGCACAAACATGAATACATACCCACTTATGTACGTACACAGAGAAGGATGCACACATACAAGAGAATGATGCACGGACTTGACGCTAAACTCAAATTGAAGCCCTGAGCTCTAAAGCATCGCAAGTAAACCTGGGCAAATCTTCTGGGCTCATTGCTTCTGAGTTCGGGCGTCGCCCTGAGATTCAGGGCTTCGGGTTTCGTCCGTCGTTGTCCATAAAAACCCATAAGCAATTGAAACGATGGAATTCGACTGAAAGCTTCGGGTTTCGATGAACATCTGGGTCGTCCTAAACCCTAAACGCTAAACCGTAAAGGGCTTCCTGACCGGTGGTGAGCGACAGCTTGTACATGCCACCTGCAACGGGCAATGTGGGCGGATGAGGCTGACAGGACGGGGGACGAAGATTGTGTTGCAAGTTGGCTGGATGTATCTGAATGTTGAAGATAGCATGCATGTGAATATGTATATAGATATACACACATACATGATGATAATGTACGGTGGCTTGCGTGTCCTTGATTCATGAAATTCTGGTTACGCGGGTGGTTGCAGGGACAGGCGAAACGATTGAATCCCATGCGGCTTCCCATAAGTGCACACTAGCCGTCTACGCCCCAGATATCTCGACATCTTGGAAGCCGCACGCCCTGAATCCACCCCGAAACCTGCAAGCGTTGAACAGCGAACCGTACTGAACAATGACAGCAACAAACCACAAATAGGAGGCCTTGAGCCCTGTACCCACTAAGACTTATACTCAGGAAAACTTTAGAGAAAAAGGGCCCTTGACGCACGGAACCCCTGCAACTTGTCGGCCATTCCATACCCTGGGCTAGTGTAGGGAGCATCACAAGTAGACTAAGGTTGGAATAAGGAGTCTAAGAAGTCCTCAACATAATTGTGATAAGTTCTTCAGGGCTCCAAATTCCTAGTTGCTGAGTTCATAAGCCCGCAAATGTGCACACTTTCAGTCTTATAGTGGGTAGTAATATGCCAAAAAGTGTAAAGTGTATCCACTCAGCTACTAAGTATTACTTGGAGTGTTCTGGCTTTTCGACAAACCTCGCACAGGCCTGTGAAGTCCATGAACACGACAGATTCGTCGTCGGGGAACCTTGGGAAGAGGTCTGACATATGGGCGTAGGGTTTAGGGTTTAGGGCTTAGGAATAACTAGAATAGAACATTGAGTGGTGCTATTAGGGCGCAGTACCACAAACTGTTCTAAACTGTCCCTAAGGCTCCATGTACCCATATAGTATATACGTAGGCCTTAAAGTGGTTGCTATATAGGTACTTTAAGACAAAAGTGTATACTATATGGCTGCATGGAGCCTTACGGTGTATCACGGGATGTGCATGTTTTTTTTCTCTGAAGGTGCTGTGCACCCCCGGGGTATGAACCTTTAAGACTCCAGAACTATCCCTGAGGCCCCATGCCTCTATCCCAATCCAACACCCAAAACCCCAAACCCTAATACAGTATATACATCAACCTTGAACGCATGCTCCATGTATGTGGGTTTAGGGCTTGACGTAGACCTCTGTGAATCGAACCCTTTTCTATATAAGATCCTGAAAGGTTAGGATACCTAGAAGAATCCCCATCAAGGGAGGAGGGTTGTTTTACCAGAGATCTACATTCAGGTTTCTGTGATTTCGCTAGCTGAGGTTTAAGGCTTAGGCTTAGGCTGGTGCGTCGCGTCAACCCTTCACCTTCGAGTTCACGACTGTAGCATTGAAAGAAGCGCCCAACCCTACCTAGAGGTTCACGGGTAGTTATAAGTGGGGTTATAAGTCCCCTAATATAGGTTATAGCCATAGTATAGTTATCCTACTTACAACCCTACTTATAACTACCCATGAACCTCCAAGCACACTCTAAACCTCTACGGAGCTAGGTCTTAGGCAACTACTCTTCTGACTAAACGGAGGGTATGATACCCCAGGCAAACAAGCAAGACTAGGATGGATGCCCAGTAGCCTAGGAATAAAACGGGCTCGCTTTTTGGTATTGGGCAACTTTATAAGCAACCCAGGACTACAAAAAGGGAATAAGGTTTTACTGGGCATCCTAGAAGAGGCATCCCGTTTGAGGCCCAAGGTTCGGGTATGGGAACTCAGGCTTCGAGCTCGGCGTACCAGTTGACTTGAGGGGCCTAAACTGAAACCCCAGCTCTATGGGATTTGGGTTAAAGTTAGGGGTTTCAGGGTTAGGGGTTCAGGGTTTAGGGTTAGGGGTTTAGAGTTTAGGCTCGGGGGTTTAGGGTTTAGGTTTTATGGTTCGGGGTTTAGACTTTAGGGCCACAGGTGCTCCAATCTGGTCGAAAGGGTTGCGTCAGTTTGTGCTTTAGGGCTTGATTGACTATACTGAACTTAGAACCCTATAATTTTAGCTGTTTCTTAGGGATTATAATAACCCAAAATGATAATTTATTTCTAAGTACCCCTAAGTGATGGTGCATCCGTATTCGGACCTCTAAGATCCGAACCAATGATGAAACCTAACAGCCCTATACAAACCTAAGAGCCATCTCCACTGGCCCTTCTCCTGATCCATCCTAAACCTTCCACTGCAACCCAACGCCTGTGCACCAAAAGCAACCCTAAACCCAACAACGTTCAAAAGCAACCCTGAAATTACACGGGAGTTTCCGAAAATTAGGGTACCTTACTTTGGGGTCCTTATAACAAGGATCCTGCTATCTGGGGTACTATATTAGGGTCCCCTGTTTTCGAAAACTCCTACATATACCCAACTCAGCCTACTTGTCAGGTATCATGGGCAACTAAAGGTTAACCTTTTGGGATATATGTATAGGGATTAAAAAGAGACTATACTACCCAAAAAAGGTTAAAGGTTCCCTGCTCCACTACTAGGTCAGAGCCAGGGGGCAAAGGCGACAGATTCCAAACTACGTGGTCGGGATCGTACTCCCAAAGCTGCTTTCCTGCAGCAGCGAATATCGGACCTTCACACTTAGAATAGTGTTTAGGGTTTAGGGTTTAGAGGGAGAGGGTTACGGTTTAGGGGTTTAGGGTTTAGGGGTCTAGGGTTTAGTGCTATACTATATGCTGTAGTTGTATTGAGGAGGCCTCAAACAAGTACACCCCAACCGTCAAGAATCATGATTGACGTCGATCATGTCAGCTTCTAGGTTAGCGGTATCATGCTCCAACACCCCACGCGTAGGGAATACTCACCAAGCGGGACCTGAACACCTACATAGTACGAAGTAGGGATTCGATGATGCACCCTTTGGCTTTGCGTTAGAATCCCCAAACAAGGGCACGAAGGATCCCTTGAGGAGACCCCTGCTTGCTTGGAAAACCCTACAAACCGCCATAAGACCTGTAACTTTATCATACCTAGAAGTATCGACGATCTTTTTGGTCTGAATGCATTGCCCACCCCCTGAACCTTAGATTTGATATGATACAGAGGGCTTAATAATTAGAATAGGGTTTGGCCCAGTAAGGAACCCCAAAATAGCATAGATACTACTAAGGCCCTATGTTATGATAGAGAGGGCTTAAAAGTTGGAATAGGGTTTGCAGGCTCGCAAGGGTTTGATAGGGTGTGCAGCGGCACCCAATCCCTTCACTGAGGAATAGACCTGCGCCCTTTAACCCTCTTTCATGACCCTTCGAGCATGGTTTGAGGTAGATGCCGTCATTAAGTGAGGAGTATTGGGCTCTCTGGGTACGAAGCTCTTCTTGCCGGCGGAAATGGAGTTTGCTAAGCTTCAGGTTACGCCCCAAGCCCTGTTCATCCACGAGGTCCTGTGTTTGTGTCCAAGCCGAACACCTTCCTTAGCTGCGGGTGTAGAACTTAGGATTGTGGTTTAGGGTTTAGCCTACTGGGTTCTTTCAAGTCGATGCGTGCTCAGCACAAACCTACTTGTCGGGTATCATGGGGAACTAAAGCCTAACATTTTTGGTTACATAGGGATTATATGGGGACTATTCTACCCCAAGAAGGCTAAAGGTTACCTACTCGACTACTAGGAAGAAGCGTGAGCTGGCAGTGCATAAAAAGCGTTCAGAATCAGAGTGTCTGCTTGCTTTGAGTGCGCAGTAAGGAAGTAAGATGTGCATCTTGGGGAAAACACGACCACAGATAAAGCATGTTGGAAAATGCTGAAGAAAAACAACCGAAGCAAACAATGATGTCGATGGCTAACATAGACATAGACATGTTGATCGACGTTTGTTCGTGAACCGTTTTGCCGCTGTGCCACGGGGGAAGCATCTTTGGAGCTGTGCATACATGTCACTTCAATTCAAAGAGCCTGTGGCCTTGCGTACTTGGAGGTTCATGGGTCGTTATAAGTGGGGTTCTAAGTCCCCTGGACTAGGTTATAACCATAGTTATCCTACTTAAAGCCCTACTTATGACTACACGTGAACATCCAAGTAGGCACGGCACTGGCTGCATCTTAGTTGTGGGCTGTGTTTTATCTTTAATGTCAGCTTGGTATCTGGGCAATGGGGACACTGACCAAACGCAAATGCGCCATAACTTTGGAGGTACGATGTTGTCTTGCAGAAGCCGCAGGTGCCCTTGGGACATTCAAAACGTCGCGGGAGTTTGGCCACTGTATCACACTAGTGTGTTTGCTCACGTAAGAAATATTGCTGTGCCCCGGCGTTTCCTGTCTTCCGACAACTGCTTGATACATGATGCCTTCACCGAAGGATTACCGGAAACCCCATGGCACACAGTGATTGGGCACAGTTCCCGTAGATGGGTCGAGTAACCCCCTCCACCCAGTATCATTGTGTTCTATTCTATTGTGTTGTATTACATTATTGGAATTGTAACAAACCCACTTATGTAGTCCTGAGTTCAGACTCTATGAGACATGAAAGGACATGCTGCCGAACATTCATGCAATATCGGGTCTTGACAAGGTAGGATAGAGTTTTGGAGTACATGTAGTGACGTAATTAATATTAATGTAGGTATAAGATTGCATCCTACACCCCAAACCCTAAACCCTTAACCCTTAGGAATACTGTTGATGATTGCTCCGACCCCTATTCAAGGCCAAGCGGCGTGTTTCCTCCCGAGATCCGCGTGTCGTTGCCCGTGCTGGCGCCGACGACGAACACCTGGGCGTTTGGGCGGTGTGGGGCTTTAGCGGTTTAGGGTTTAGGGGTTTAGGGTTTAGGGGCTTAGCGGTTTAGGGTTTGGGGGTTCAGGGTAGGGCGAATAGGGTTTGGCCCAGTCAGGCTATATGCAACATGAAGATGTGTTGGAACATCAGAACGAGAAGCACGGCTTGTCTGGCGGAAATATGGATGTGCATCATATCTCGGATGCCAGAAAGAGTCCGTATTCAAAACTAGAATTTCCAAACTAGAACCCCTCGTCGTGTTGTGGGCTTTCAAAGGCTTCATTCGGGGATCCTTTTTGACTGGCCTGGCTTTGTTTGTTTCTCTGCTGAACTTAGACCATTAGCAAAAACTATAACTTTAGCTGGCTGGTTCTTAGGGATGAAAATTACCAAAGATTATTTGTAAGTACCCCTGAGCTGCTTAAGTGCTCCACCGACCTTTCAGGTCTCTTCGAAACCGGTGAAAACCCTCCGAAATCCCGACATCTCAGCCCCAAGCCCGAAACCCCAAGACCCAAGCCTCAAACTCCTCAACCCTTTCCTAAGGGTCCATGTACCTAAATATTGTATACATTGGCCTTGAAGTACTCCGTATATGGGTACATTGGGCCCAAAGTATATACTATTTGGGTACATGGACCCTTAGGGAACCCCTGCTTCTTGGGACCCTGCAGACGTGGAACCTTCAAACGAAACGGCCCTAGGGTTTAGGGTTTAGGGGTTTAAGGTTTATTTTTAACCTATGGTGTGGACCTTTTCTGCAAAGCCTGCTCGCCCCTTGTGGGCACATAGAGTTGAAGATTAACCAAGATCTTGTGATTCTCAGGGTTTAGGGTTTAGGGTCTTGGCAAAGCTTGAACTTTATGTAGGCTTACATTGAAATAACTGCATCTTCATCGTAGACGCCTGACGAATACTTCAACCCCCATCTTTTGCGTTGAAGGCCTGAGTGTGAGGATCCAGGCTCCATCCCTGTGAACACTTAAGTGTTCGTGCCACAGAAACCCGGAGACCCCCTTTGCAAACCGCAACCCCTGAACCCTAAACCCTAAACCCTAAACCCTCAACCCTAAACCCTAAACCCTAAACCCTAAACCTTAACGCTGGCCTCTGAAAGATTCTGGGGCTCCTGGCGCCGTTGTGCGCTGCAGGGTAGCCTGACATAACGTTACTCTTAACCGAAGGCCCTCAGTTCGCTAAAAGATTTTGTGTGATTAGGTTTGAGGGTTTTAGGGTCAACACGAATAGTGAAGTATAGAACGAGTGTTTTCTCAGTGTTACGGTTCAACACTCAGTACCCCCCTCGGTTCCACAACAAAACGAGACAAACGACTCTAGTGCCCTCCACAAGAAAACGTTATGCTTGAGAACTCTCCGGAGAATATGCCGAAAACGAAGAGTAGTTTCTAAGGTAGCATAGGGGCCTTAATAATTAGAATAGGGTTTTGCGGCCAATATTGCATTATGTTATTATAATATAATATGGAATCCCAAAAAATAGTATAGGTAATTATTAAGGCCCCTCTAGTAGCGGAAAACAAACGGTTTATGATATACATCCTGCAGTACCCATAATAAGCATTATGCTATAATTCCCATAGCTTAGGGTCCTTAAGGCGATGCAGGATGTATATCATGAGCCGAAGCATAGCTGTAGCTTCTATAATGAGACCTCGCTGCTCTTCGCACCTCTGCTACTTGGAGGATCATGGGACTTGGGCTCTTTAAAGGGATCTGTAGGGGTTCCTTAAAGGGATTTATAGGGTTTAGGGTTTGGTTTAGGGTTCACTTGGAGGATCATGGGACTTAGTAAGTAAGGTTAGAAATAACTTTATTGGGGTTATAAGTGCTTGTAAGTAGAGTTACCCTAATTATAACCCTAGCTACTAAGTCCCATGATCCTTTCAGTATCCGTACGACTAGCGAACCTCCAAGTTTCAATTATTTTGGCCTCATCTGTAAAGCCTGCACCGTGTCAGAAGGGCACAAAGGGCTTTTGGCAGGCTTTCATACAGTTTTCTGGATCATCAAGAACCCTAAACCCTAAACCCTAAACCCTAAACCCTAAACCCTAAACCCTAAACCCAGCTTGTTTTAAGAGTTTGGGTTTCGGGCTCTACTTTAGGGTTGTAGTCTGTAAGAGTGACTAAAATGCCGTCATGAACTCGCCTACAACCCCAACGTGAACCATACACCTGAACTGCGCACCGTCGAATGCCGCGGGATTCCGAGCCCTATCCGTCCTGAAGAATGTGACATGTCATCATTGTGCCTAATGATGATTCGGCAGGGCTTTATCATTGCTTGGTTTACAGGGGTTTGTATTGAAAACTTAATCGACTGAGATCGGACTTCGATCGGGTGCTGGTATGCCGAACGAATATTAAGAGCAAAATCTATACCGTGTCAATCCTACTATTCTTTGACACCACTGCACTAGGCTTGGGGTTGATCTAATCAGGGACCCAAAAAAGCACATAAGCAAAAATTGGGATAGGGATATCCCACATAAACTCCCTTACAATGAAGCCCAATAAGGTGGGGATATCCCTATAAAATTCTTATGCTTATGTGCTTTTTGGGTCCCTGACTGATGTAGAAGCCTGAACAGTTAGACTAAGGTTTCGGGGGTTCCGCACTGCACGCAAGCCTTCTCTAGCTTCACGCTTGGGATAGGTGGGTGGTTGTCAAGATGATGCTCCCTATTTGGATCCCTATTACAATACGGCACCTATTATCCAATTAGGCTACCCAAAAAGGGACCTTAATTTTGACAACTACCCACATGTTTATTCCTTATTGAGTTTAAGTACCCATAAACATGCAGAATGTTACCCAACTATGACAAACTGCAAACGAACCACAAGGAAGATTATTTACAATTCTTCGAGACGCACTCAAAATGTATGCAATATAAGGCCCCTCATTAACTAGACCCGGAACTCCCAAACCCTAAACCCCTGAATGGCGCTTCTAAGATTTCACGTCTACTCCAAACGAAGATGGTTAGGAGTCTGGATAGACCTAAACCGTAAGCCCTAGACCCTCGACCGCATCACCCAGCCCCCTTACCCGTAAACCCTACACCCTGAACCCTAATCCTAAGCATTGTCCTGAAACCCTAAACCTGAACCTTATCCTGAAACCCTAGACCCTAAACCCCATCCTCAAACCCTAATTAAACCGTAAGCCTTATCCGTAAACCCGAAACCTTAAACTCAAAACCCTCCGAGCGGCCGCAGTCGCCGCCACTGGTGTCTGCCAAAAACGTCCTCCAGAGCTCCTCCGTCTTTATATGTCCGTACGCGTTTCTATCTGGGTTCCGTTAAAGGCTTCTATAGGGTTCCCTTAAGGGATTCTATAGGGTTACCTTAAAGGCTTCTATAAGGGTTCCCTTAAAGGCTTCTATAGGGTTCCCTGAAAAGGGCTTCTATAGGGTTACCTTAAGAGCCTCTTGTAGGGCTACCTTAAGGTCTCCTTTAGGGTTCCCTTTGACGGGCTTCTATAGGGTTCCCTCAATCAAAGGCTTCTCTATGGTTCACTTAAAGGGCTTCTGTATGGATAACCCCGGCCACGGCCACTGGGGTGCTACAGGATTTAGGGACTAGGGTTCAGGGTTTAGAGCTTGGGATTAGGGCTGAGGGGTTCAGGGTTTAGGGTTCGGTTGCCCTCGAATACTTGGGTGACTGACTCACAAGAAACACTGCATGCTTAGGGTTGAGAGCGGGACCCTGAATCGGCTAGTGCAGGGCTGTAGAGTTTTGCTCAACACGCTTACGGTCGAGCATGCGCCAAGGAGCTATTTCACTTCCCCGAAATGATTTTAACAGGTACCTACAGGACCAGATTAATACCAGTGGACTAAGCAAGCTTTCTTAAGTGCCGCTTAAATGGCTGGCATACATATTCGAGAACACACTTTCTGCAAGTGGGTAGTTGTCGAAACTATGGTCCCTTTTTGGGTACCCTAAATACTAGGTGCCGTATTAGATTAAGGACCCCAAAAGCCGGTGGGGTTAAGGAGGGTCCCCTTTGAAGGGTCTCCCAATAAGGTAAAAGCCAGAAAGTTGGAATATTATTATCCTAAACCCTTTATGGTAAATTATAAGGTACCCCACCCTGAAACCATATTCCAACTTTCTGGAGTTCCCTTTACTGCCTAGGAAGCATCCGGATAAGCGTCTCGCAAGAGAGTCTGCTGATAACCACGAGGTTGCCATCTCAGTAGCTACGATGGACTTCGGGAGAGTGGTATGGTTCAACTTGCTTGCAGGAATGACATACAGACCCTCAGCCCCGTACTGTTGTACCGTACCCTAAGGGTCCATGTGTCCAAATAGTATATACTTTGGCCTTAAAGTAGTCCCTAGGTACAGTTTTCTTGAAGTATATACTATTTGGGTACATGGACCCTTAGGGGTACTATCGAAGCTATCAAGGAATAGTCCGCCTGCAACAGGTGTGGATTGCGGGCTTTGGTCCTACCAAGTCTGGACTTTACCCTGTGATTTTGGGTTGGATGCTTCAGGGCGAACGCAATGTGGGTGGTTGTCAAGATTATGGTCCCTGTTTGGGAACCTTAAATATTAAGTGCCGTACTATAATAAGGACCCCAAAACATACCCTAATATTGACAACCGCCCATGTAGACAACGTAAAACATGGCGTTTCCATCCCGCGACGCCTTGCCAGAGTTCCTGTCCACGGCATAAGCCAAGCCTTGCAGAGAGAAGTTTAGGACATGGGAGTTTCCGAAAATTTGGGGTACCTTATTTTGGGGGCTCCTTCTAGTAAGGATCCTACAATTTAGAGTACTATATTCGGGTCCCCTCATGATATACCATAAGTTTACCCAAAGGGTCCATGTACACTACCCAACAGACCATCCCCATCATGGCTTTTGGGACCTAATTCCATAATAGCAGCGTATATGGACCCTCTTGTTTAGGATATAGCAGAAGCTCGAAACCGTAGACGCGTGTCGAACAAAATGGTGTGTTCTGCTGCAACGTTGTCTCACTCTTCGAAGCCCCAAAGCAAATTCAAATCCATAAAAGCCCTTAACCCTAGAAACTCTGCTGCCCGAAGAAAGCCTGAAGCCAGAAGAACCCAATGCAAACGCCGAAGAGTGCTGCATTCTTGAGAAGCGTTTGTACTGGCAATCTCTGCAAGCCCGCCATTTCCGAGAACACAAACCATTGAATAGCCGCTCCTCGACAGTCAGAAACCTAAAACGGACTAATGTAGGGGCCTGAATGATACTACTATACCATGGTATACCCACAGCCTATTCTACTTCTTAAGGCGTCTATGTTGAATCCTTAAAATAACCCGTTATAGTAGCCCTTATAGACCCCTTTAAAGGAACCCTGTTTTGCTTATTAGGGCCCCTATATTGAAGGGAACAGCTCCCCTCTAGACTTGTGCGTGAGCTTGCATCCCTTCGGGCTTTTCAACAGCACCGTTGAGGCCTTAATAATTAGAATATAGGGTTCCTTTAAAGGGATCCTTAAATGGGGTCTACAAAGGATCTAGTTTTGGGTACTATAATATAGGGGCCTTAATAATTAGAATAGGGTTTCTAACCCATTATACTACTTTTATAATAAAGGAACCCCCAAAACAGTATAGGTAATTATTAAAGCCCCAGATTATTGAAACAAGGCTTGAAACAGGTCTTGCAGGGTTTGGTCTGTGAGGGTCTTTATAGGGCGTCGATATGGTGACGTCTACGCTTCAAACGGCAACGCTACTATTCAGCAGTAAGCTGCAGATATTCTGCACTTTACTATGGGGGCACGAGATTCATGGGCAAATCTCTAAATCAGGGTTCGTTTTCACGTCACCGAAACAGCACGGTTCCTTTGCACAAAGGACCTCAACAGGGACCCTAATTTAACGAATTACCCTCATGATGATCACTCGCCGGGGCAAGGCAGAGGAACAGTGCTGCACGAGTTGTGGAAGCTCTAAACCATGCACCTCTTCCCATACCAGCAGGCTTAATGGGGGTATTCTCAAAAGAGCTCTTTAAATCGTACAGTTAGGTGTGCTACGGTCTAGATCCTCCCGGGTCTCTGGGTCTTTTAAATACAGCACCTAAACACCCCAACCCCCATCCTGGACCCGGCTACCATGCTCCTTCTACAGCTGAGCAGCATCCCAGACCCCCGGATAGATCCCCTAATTTGGGGCCCCAAAACTACTAAGGGTACTTTATAGGAACCCCAATTAAGGGATCTACTTCTTGGATCCTCCCGGGGGTCTGGGATTCGATTATTCGGGTATATAAGCCCCCTAGAAAGTGGAACTTTTATTGGTATTTGGAACGGCTAGGACTCTACTTGGTTTCCTCTGGTCTTGCCTTCGGGTCTCCACCTGCGAAGCATACGGTTGATGATATAAATCCTGCATTACCCATAAGAAGGAATATACCATAATTCCCATACTTTAGGGTCCTTAAGGTAATGCAGGATTTATATCATCAACCGTATAAAGCCGTTTGAACAAATTAGTTCGTTGTAGTCCGTTCTTCAGACTACACTGAAACACGACAAGCCCGTGTAGTCCAACAACTGAGTGATTGGGGTAGCACTTGTCGGGTTTCTACACCATGAGTAGATATCAAGGGGAACCCTGAGGAGTAAGATTATCAACGACTCCGACCCCACTATTGTAAGCTCTGAACCATAACCCTAGAACACGTTCAACCCCGACGCAACCCTGCAAACCCTTACAGAATCCTCCACAGCCCCTTTACGTATACCGCTAAATCCCTAACCCCTAAACTTGAGGCCCTCCCGAAAGCCTCAAACCCTTCATAACCTTACAACCCTACGCCTTTAAATGACCCCCTGTCACCATGCACCCCGAAGCCTAGACTCCAAGAGCAACGATCCCTTAAACCAGGAGAAGATCTTGCATCATAACAAGAAGCTCCCTTTAGGGAGGCTTCGGGGTTGGGGGTGTTTCGGAGTGGCCTGGAAGTTTGGTGGACGACAGAAGAAGGTTGCCATAGAGCGAAGGCTCGTTGTTGGTCAAACCTGTAAGACAGGCGCACTTCGGCACAGGCTCTGGCGTTTTCAGGGCTTCGTTTCTCTTAATTGTTCTTTTTGTTTTTGGAATTCGGCTTGGAGTTGCTATCCTGTCAAGGCTGTTCAGTGTAATTATCAACTTTTCATAGGGTTGTAGAGTCTCTGTGTTGTTGAGATAAGGCTTCGTTGCCGTTTACCCAGACCCGAGTTGCAAACCTGGAAGGACCACCCCGTGGTTCACCATAAGGGGAGAATGGCATAGAGGAAACTACTGGGGGACCTAAAACTATAAACTGCACAACTTACACTCCTAAACCCCAGAACTCAACAAATGTCAAGCGACACCTCTTAGAAGGACAACAAGTAGGAGCATTAGTTGCTTGGGGCTGGAGAATGAGAATCGGCTGACTGACGCCGGTCCCTACACTCTGACGTTTTCTTGCCTTCTATGGAACCAGGATTTGCACTGACGCGAGCGAAACCTGTCGCCGCGAACCCAATAAACCCTAAACCCCTAAACCCTATACCCCAAAACCCCAAAACCCTAAACCCTAAAATCCAAAACACTAAAACCCTAAACCCCTAAACCCCAAACCCCAAAACCCTAAACCCCTAAACCCAAAACCCTAAACCCTAAGCCCAGATTTCTAGGAAAATCTCTACATCCACCTAGGGATTCCCTGTGCATTACTCTTAGGGATTGAGGCTATTGGGTTTCCAACTTTTGGGCTTCTATTGCAAACCCCTAAACCCTAAACCCAGATTTCTAGGACAAAGCTCTACATCCTCTTAGGGATTCCCTATGCATTACTCTTAGGGATCGAGGCTATTGGGTTTCCAACTTTTGGGCTTCTACTGTAAACCCCTAAACCCAAAACCCAGATTTCTAGGAAAAGCTCCACATCCTCAAAGGATCATGGGACTTAGTACCTAAGGTTATAATTTGGGTAACTCTACTTATAACCCCAATTAAGGTACTGATAACCTTACTTACTAAGTCCCATGATCCTCCAAGTAGACCCTAAACACATCCCTTTAAAGAGCCCTTGAAGGACCCTTACTAAGTCCCACTAAGCTTCTACTGTACTCACGGCGAGGCACCGGGCGTTTCGAAGATCCAAACCTCCTGACCCGCGGACGTGAACTTCCGAATGCCCTGCGCTGTCTGAAGATACCTCAGCGTTTTGCTATATAGGGTTTATATAGGGTTTAGGGTTTATAGGGGCCTTTCTAATTAGGAAAGGTTTAGGGGGCATGTTAATTTGCCATAATTATAATCAGGAGCCCCCAAAACCCTATTCTAATACGTAATTGAAGCCTCTAAATTAGGCTTGGAGGATGTTTGGGGTGTTGGAGTCTGGGGTTTAGGGTTCAGGGATTCAGGGCTTGGGGCGTTTAGGGCCTTGTACGTGGATTTGGGGCTCAGGGTTTTGGGAACCCTGCACCAAAACACCCTACACCCCTACTTAAGAAGCTCCCTTAAAGGAATCCCTTAAAGGTATCCCTCAAAAGGCTCCCTTAACTTCCCAGAGATCTCCAGTAGAAGGTCCAAGCTTCAATTGTTTGGAGCGTTCAGGCTTCCAGGGCTTCGGGCCCCCGGGGGCTCCTCATGTAGGCCCACGGTATGGGTTTAGGGTTTAGGGTTTAGGGTTTAGGGTTTAGGGTTTAGGGTTTAGGGTTTAGGGTTTAGGGTTTAGGGTTTACCAGGACACTCAACTACCCTTTAAAGGGCTCTGATATTTCTCATTAAGACGTAATTCGGGGCTACAATAAAGGGTAGTTGGGGGGTCTAGGTAGGGTTTAAGGTTACTTGGAGGTTCATGGGTAGTTTTAAGCGGTGCTATAAGTCCCCTAATTCAGGTTATAAACACAGTTCTCTTACTTATAACCCTACTTATAACTACCCATGAACCCCCAAGCAGACCCTAAACCCTTATAGAATCCCTATAGATCCCTTAAAGGAACCCTCATAACTACCCAAGAACCTCCAAGTAGAGCCGAAGTCCTTGAAGCTTGCTAGGGGTTTAAGGTTTAGGGTTCATAGGTTGGGTACGGCTGGTTTAGGGTTTAGGGTATAGTTGAATCATATTCATAGTATAGATATATTAGGACCTTAATAGTAGCCCTATTATCGACTTTTAGTATAGCATAGCACCTTTGCTTTGGGCATTTAGGGTTTTAAGCTTCGGCGCTGCAGGATTTCTTTGCTTTGGCGGTGGTTTTGGCATCCAGGGACTCCAAAGTGACAGGCTCCACACTCTACAGGGTTTCTCCCAAAGCACAGGAACCAAAACAACGCCCCAGAAAACCCCAAGAACATCATACGAATTCTGGACACCAACATCCTGAAGCCTAGAACTCAGTACCAAGCCCTACAGCACACCCCTACTTGCCACAGGGGGTTTCAACATACGGGTTTTAGTATCTGGCCTTAACAACTTGAATACGGTTTGGGATATATTGTATTAAACTGGCGACAACAAGCATAACCGGCAGAAAAGACAAAAGCCCGACTGTAACACGACCACAAGTGGCAAACGCTCCTGCAGATGGCGCTTGCATCGAAGAGGAATCGGACCACGACGCTTCGTGCTTGGTGCTTTCTCAGCCGAATTGAAGCCTAAAAGCCTTACTTGGAGTTTCATGGCTAGTTTTCAGTGGGCTTCTAAGTCCCCTAACATAGGTTACAGCTGTAGTTCTCCTACTTATAACCCTACTTATAACTACCCATGAACCTCCAAGTAGACCGTAAAACCTAAACCCTTATAGAATCCCTATAGGTCCCTCTGGAGGGACCCTTAAAGGAACCCTTATAACTACATATAACTACCTATGAACCTCCAAGTAGGGCAAGATTACCCTAAACCCTAAACCCAAAAATAAGGAACCCCTATAATACCCCTTATAGACCCCTTTAAGAGGAACCCTTAAAGGAACCCTAATTCTAATTACCTAGGGCCCTTATGTTACTTTCAAGACTTCGGGCTTTCCTTAAGGCGAGCTCCGTCCGAGGGGCAGGTTCGAATCCTTGTCGATCACGGGGCCCCCCGACATGATCGTGTGGAACTGGCCCTGGCTAGGGTTAAGGGTTTAGGGCTTATAGGGTTTAGGCGGCTTCTGGGTTTAAATTCAAGCTTTATAGGATTATAGGGTTCATAGGGCTTTAGGGTTTATAGGGCTTTTAGGGCTTTCGGGGTTTAGGGCGTTTAGGGTTTATATTTTATAGGGTGTATTGGGTTTAGGTAATAAGGACCCCCCCCAAAAAGATAGTATAGGGAACCCCGCCCCCAGTAAGTACCCTCCCTTAAGGATCATACCCGAAGGGTCCAAGCACCTCAACGCTTTGCTGAATGCACGTTTAAAGAAACTTTCCTAAACCTAAACCCTAAACCCAAGTGCCTAATCATTGGGCCTTTTGGACCCTGATGATAAGACCTAGGTTCATCTAGGCTTAGAGTTTGAGTTTCGGAGTTCTATGGGGCCTATCGTGATTGATAGACCGGGCTTTCTAAACTGCGGGTTAAACATTTTACAGGGTGGTAAAAGGGGTTTAGGGTTTAAGGCCTTGAGTGTTTTGGATGTAGTCTTGGTTAGAATTAGGGTTTAAGGCGTACCCCCTCTAGAAATGTCAGTTGGTGGAGCTTTGGGCAAACTGCAAGGTTTGTGCGCTTCGGCGTCGTATGTTCCCAACATCCCAGAGAGCCCAATACCCCTTAATTAGGGAATATGGCTTAAATTATACAGGCCTTCGTATTATGATTTCAGCTATATTCCTTAATTAAGGGGTATTGGACTCTCTGGGATCCTAGAAGCAAACACAAAACCTTAAGATATCGGGGAATGGGGCTCGAGGTTCCCACGTAGTTCCTTCATAAAAAGCCTTAAGTAGGGCACCCTCTTTCCTACGATTTGGGTCTAACCCAAAAAGGAATTGTGCACAAGGGTACTACTGGGGACTGGGGAACGTAGGACTTTAGGTAGTTTGATTTTGCTGGCTCGGGCATTCTCCGCGTTTCGCGGCCCAAGGCGTTCGGGGCGCGTCCTAGTGTCTAGGATTGTTTGGGTCTACTGGAATCGCCCCTAAACCCTAAACCCTTATAAACCCTAAAACCCTAAACCCTAAACCCTAAAACCCTAAACCCTAAAACCCTAAACCCTAAACCCTAAACCCTAAAATCCTAAAACCCTAAAGCCCTAAACTGAAGAGCCACAAGACAGCGGGGAGCTTCCGGAGAAAGGCTCAACTACCGTATATCAAAGGGGAAAAGGAGGGACCCTTAATGGGGACCCTTACCCTATAATCCCTAATGGTCCAAAGTACATTATGGGGAAGACTTCCCCAAATCATAATAGTAATTCCTGATATAGAAACCCTACATTCTACTATAAAGGTACTTTGGACCCTTTGGGAATGGGCTATATGATGGGTATATAATAGATATATTAAGGGTATATACCTAGGGGTTCGTATTAAGGGTCCCTCCTGTTACCCTTGGAGTATAGGTAATCGTAACATAAAGGTTCTCTGACTTGCAACTGCTCAGCGGCCGCAGGAATACCAGGTCTCCGAAAAGGCGTGGCACCCCATTCCTACTATTTGCTTAAGAAACCCCAAAAAATAAAAATAATAATCCCTATATTACCCCCCATAAGGAATAGATTTTTTATTTTTTGGGGGTTCTTAAGCAAATAGTAGATTCTCAGCAATAGTGGGAGTACGAGTAGGATTCGTTCTAGCAGAAGGAGCCAGGTCCGTATAGAAGTGGCCAGGTCCGAGTTCTACGGATCTCCTGCTTGGGTTGAAGCCAACTTGCTTCCTGTAGTTGAAGAAGCCGGCGTGATGATGCAGCTCAACCCTCATTCGACGCGAAATCCCTGCCACCACGCCACGTGGTGGCGCATGGACGAGTTGTTGTTTCAAGACGGACCGGCTGGAGAGGAGTTGTTGCAGCTCTGCCTTTGCTTCTGGAGCATTGAGCATTTCAGAAACAAGCCGCCTTGTACAGAACCCTATGAAGGTGTGATCCTCGATATAAGGCCACCTTAAGGGGATGTTTGAAACTCCTTAGAGCCAAGCAAAAGCCGACTCAAGCCTCAGCCGTTAAACCCCTTTGGAGATCGACTAAGAACTGTTCAAAACCAGGCTATTTTGGTGCTATGGCTTGAACTGCTTGAAATCCGGACTTCATTCGAAGCAACCCCACCTAATACCGGAACACCGGAAAACCTGTTTAGAGTTGTCAGAAAGGGCCCATATACCGAAACCCTCAAAGCCCGCCCCCCCCCCCCCCCCCGCCCTCGGATGCTGCCAGGACCAGCTTGGCGTCGACAGATCCCTTGGAGGCGCCTCACGATTTAAGGTTTAGGGGCATGGGTTTAGGGTTTAGGGGGTCCCAATACTATTTTTTGGAGGGGGGTCTTTATTGCAATTTAGTATATTGGGCCCCAAAACCCTATTCTAATTAAAAAGGCTTATTTAATACAGAAAGGACTGTTGTGGCGTGTATACATAAGCAGTTTTTACAGGTTCAAGAGTTTTTACAGGTTCAAGAGTAGCAGTACCAGCCACAACAGTCCCGTTTGAAGTAAGCGACTTACTTTACTAGCTACACCAGACCGGTTCTAAAACAAAGCCCGTGCTCTAAAACCAGGTCTGTCTATTGTTCTGCACGATCAACAACAAAGTAAGAAGTTACAAGCCTTGCTGTTTTATGGAGTAATTTCAGAAACCAAAAAACCAAAAAAACCAAAAAACCAAAAAAAACAAAAACCAAAAAAAACAAAATAACCAACCCCATACCTCCGGAGCCGCCCGGTGATATGGGGTCGGTTCTTTTGGTTTTTTTGGTTGTTGTTTTGTTTGTTTTTTTTGGTTTTTTTGGTTTTTTTGGTTTTCTTCCTTAGGTATACTGACGCGCGAGTACACGAATGACGTCGGCCCTCATCATCTCTTTTCCGGGGCGTAGAAAGCAGTGTTGACTATCCGGCAAGCAAGAATTGAAGGAAATAACGGCTTTAGGCCGGTTCGCGTGCGCAGCCTTTTGGGCCTTCTCATGACTTGCAGATACGGTCCTCATCAAGCACTGCGTGGATTATGCCTGACTCCAGGGGTCTTCCTAAATAAGAACAAAAACCAAAAGAAACAATACCAAAAACAGCCAAACAAAAACAATATCAACAAGCCAAGAAAACCAATACAAAAATATTCAAAAACATATTGCGGAACTCTTTGCAATCATGCGCACTTGTGAAAGAGTTCTGGATATTGTTGTTTTTTATCTGTGTATTTTTTGGTTATGTTGGTGATGTTTTTTGCTCATTTTTAGAAATGGGTTTACTGTACTGGTTCTGATCTGCCTTGTCTCATGGCTCTGCTGGAGCTGCCTTGTTCGAGTCCAATATTAAATATTGCTGATCGGATGGCCTTCCCATAGCATCGCATTCCCACACAGTGATAGATTCATGTGTTAACAAACTGATATATCAATATAGTTAATGTAAGGGAACAATAGTCTGTTTGTATACGTGTATATAATTGTTCTTTCTATATTGGTACATTGGTGCATGAGCACAGTAGTCTATTGGTGTATTAATATGTTTTTTTTTATATTAGCTTATTCGTACATTAGTTCATTAGTATATTCTTGGTATACCAGTATATGTACTATACTCTTATATTATCTAATATTGCATAGGTATATCAATATGTTGGCATAGTAGTATATGAATATGTGCGTATGCTTGCGTATTACACTATTCTCAATATTTACGTAAATATTGATATTGGTATAAATATTGGCATTAATTACTAGTATTAGTACTAGCATTAATGCTAATATGAATGTGGTGTTTTGTATTCGCAGGAATGTTTGTACTAGTATTACTCTTGACTACATCAAAAGTAGTAGCATATTGATATATGAATGCGTTATAATATATTTGTACTTTAACATAGTGGTATGCATACGTATGTACTTTAGAACCTGCATGTGCGTATCAGTATTGGCATTAATATACGTACTAATATCACTGTGAATATGATTATTGGTATACACAGAGGCATGAATGTTAATATTAACATTGGTATTATGCATAGTCGTGTTAGCCTGAAAATAAGCTTTAACATTAGTACAATCGTCTTGGGTTGGGTATTCAACAGTTTATCAATGTCAGTATTAGTAGTGGTGACAGTGTTACTATTGACAAACATAGGAGTATATGTGTTAGCATTTGCAGGAGTGTCGACACTTATATAAATACTGATATTTGAAAAATACGGGCATTGGATTAGCAAGAGTATTAAATTAATCGAATTTTCATATTATGATGACTTGTGCTCGCAGGAAAATTCGGAAAAGCGTCAAAACCCTGGGGTTATGAAAAGCCAATAAGCACTGGGCACATGATCCGGCTTAGAACCATAACGGCTCCTGCCTCATCGCACGAAGCAGCTTCATCAAAATACTATGTGGTACTACGACGCCATTATTCGTAATGTGTGTTTTCGCAGGGGGGGACTTCCCGCTTGGAACCTTCATATTGTTGTAGTAACAACCGTGTTAACAATACCATAACGGAAATAAGACTGATTGCAACAATTACGTTAAAGAAGTGTTACTACAATCACAAAAACAACGGTGAGAATTGAAATGACATGAAGGCCGTTCTCAATCAGAAAGGCCTTGAGCATCTGTATGAAAATCTGTCCTAAGACAAGCCTCATGAGCATATGTCGCTTCGTTTTGGGTGTTCTGCACATATGCGTCCACGTAGTTTTCCATGTCACGTGTGTTGCCACAGAGACCGCTCGAAGCAAAGCATGTTTGTTCTGCTGCATCACAGGTAGCAACGAAGAAGTAAAAAATGCTTATCTTATGCGTATCTTCCCACGCCACAACAGTCCCCTCTCATTTAATAAGGCCCCCCTATATTAGGACTAAGGGGTTTAGGGGCCAGGGCTTGAGGGATTAGGGGCTTAGGGTTGAGGGGTTTAGCTGGTACTGTTCGGGGGTCCAGGCTTGAGGATTTAGGCATTGGGGCTGTTCTTCGGCACCCTGTATGCAGGTGTGTGTTTTCAGTTGTATTAAAGAACTTTAAAAACGTTCCAAACGGGTTTCTAGACGGCTTAGTTATAAAGGGTGTTATAGGTAGAGACCTTCGTTCCGTCGCGTGAGTATACTAGATCGCTATATCACTATCCGTTTAAGCTTCATAGCATATTTAATTGGCCTAGGAAACCGCAAAGCAAGTGCTTGACCGATATACCGTAGCTCCAAACGTCAGAGAATAGCAGGCAATCGCTCGTTGCCGCTATTGTCTAGTGAAATCCCCCAAAACAGTAGGTATGTCAATCCAAACGTTGGCGCTAAACCCTAAACCCTAAATTCTAAAAACCTAAAGCCTAAGCCCGAAACCCAAAACTCATTAAGCCTTAGCCCCAAAACCCTGAAGCCTAAGCCCCAAAACCCTGGAGCCCAAGCCCCAAAAAACCCTAAGCCCTAAACCCGAAGAAGACCAAGCGCCCGAGGCCTGGCCGACAGCGGCGGTCTGACTTCGCCCGCGGAAGGTGGGCCAATGGTGCGGCGCTGTTCCTGCAGCTTTTAAGGGGTTAGGGCGGTTAGGGCTTTTAGGGTTTAGGGTTTAGGGTTTGGGGTTTAGGGTTTTGGGATGTTGGGAGGGTTTTGCATGCTTGATTTTTTTCCTATCAGTTCAGAGGTTCGAGACGGTTTAGGGTTAGTTTAGGGTTGAAGCGAATCTTGGATGGTTGCTTTTTGTTGTTCAATGTCGGGGTTCGCATTACATCAGACGTTTGAGAGAGACTTTTGATGGAAATGAGGGTTCACAAGGGTTTTTAGGGTGTAGAAATAAGTTTGCTCCATTGGCGCTGTATCAGGTGGTAAAGAAGTGTAATTAGAAGCGTTTATGAAGGGTTTACGGGTTTAAGTCTGGGATTTGTTGTCTGTTTGTGTGTAGATGTTTCGCGCTTCGTAGCTTATGAAGGACTGCAAAATCTCTGAAGCAATAGTCCCGCAGGAAGGATCCCTGCTGCAGGGGCCTTAATCACTAGAAGGGGTTTTGGCAGGTTCGGGGGCATTATATACTACACCTACTATATCTATATGGGTGGTGGTCAAAATTATGGTCCCTTTTTAGGTCATTATTATAATACGGCACCTAATATTTAGGGTACCCAAAAAGGGACCCCAATTTTGACAACTACCCATATTATGAATATTATTCAACTATTACTGAGTGGGGGCCGTACCTACTTCACATCTTGCAAGGAGCCCGGAGCACCAGTATAGGAAATTATGCAGTCCCGAAGCAAAACAACATACCACAACACTTTAAATAAGGCCCCAAAGAAGCACATAAGCAAAAACATGATAGGGGATATCCCATACAAGAACCGCCGTTTTATGAAGCCCGATATAGGGATATCCCTATAAAATGCTTATGCTTATGTCCTTTTGGGGCCTACTTGACGGGTATCATGGGGAACTAAAGGTTAATCTTTTGGTTACATAGGGATTATATAGGGACTATACTACCCAGAAAAGGTTAAAGGTTACCTACTCGACTACTAGTGGGGGTCTCTAAATTGAAGGAACATTCCTGTTGGGGGAGATCGGTTCCTGCACGGCTCCGGTTTCGGATGGAAGAAGTCTGCTACTCTGACAAAAAACTTCCCCCCCCCCAATAAGCCACAAAAAGAAAAGGTTGAACTTTCCGATTCCTACTAAGCTATAGGAACCCAAAAAGTTTGGAGGTTGGGCATTGGGGATCTAAGTAAAAAAGCCTAAAGAGTGTTCAGCACCTGAACGCAAACCCTCATATATTTGCTTCAACCCTGAAACCTGAGGAGGGCGGGGTGCCTGAATCGTTACAGGCCTGATTGGGCCCGGAGAGTTCCCTCCAGCTACCCGGTTGCAATGCGATTGCAACATCCAGGTTCGATAATGAAACCCGGCAACGCGGGGCTAGGCTTCATGACTTTAGTGTTTCTCTAGGGATCAAAATGGCCCAAAAGCCTTGTATAGTATGGTCAAAGCCTTAACGTCTGAGTCCTTAGATCCCTAGTGTTTGAGGCTTGGAGCAAACGGGTTTAGGGCTTTGGAGTTTAGTGGTCGAGGCTATAGGCTTAAGGGTCCATGTACCTAGATAGTATACACTTTTTGGCCTGAAAGTACTCCCCATACAGGTACATTGGGCCCAAAGAACCCTAAACCCTAAACCCTAAACCCTAAACCCTAAACCTGGACACTTAGGGTAGGGGTCTGAGGATTAGGGTTCGGGCTTAGGGCTTTGGGCATTTGAGGTCTAGGGCTTACCTTAACCCTGAATAACCTACCCTCTCTAAGGCTCCTTATTATGATTGCCTTATAGAAGTCCTCAACAAAGTATGTTCTTCAGGGTTAGGGTAGGGTTTCAGGCCGGGGTTTCGGGTTTTGATTTCATGAGGGGCCCAGTAAAAACCCTTCGAAGACCTGCATATCCAAGGGGCGACGGTCTGCCTGTGCTTGGAGGAGATGTGTGCTGCAGGTCCCCTGCTCGCCCTCCTTTCGTTTAGGGTTAGGGGTTCGGGTTTAGGGTTTAGGGTTGGTTCCGGGCTCCCCCCAAAACTATGAAGCTCTTAAGCCTTAAGCTTTGGGTGCTGTGGCTCGAAGAGAAGAAAGAAATGCTAGGGTTTGGGGATGGACTTGTGCAAGTGAGAGTTGATGGTGCAGGGCTTCGGAAAAAGACACTGAACATGAGTCCCTGAGCATCACCCAAGCCAAAAGACTCTAGATTGATGGTGATTTTGGGGGCAGATCGGAGGCTTCAATACTCATATATATATATATATATATATATATGTCGGCCTGAAGAAGACGTATAATATTGTTCCATAAGGTACCGACATAACTTTAGCGTACAACATACCCAGGACGACACCACATCCTGTGCTAGGCTGAGTTGTGCTTGCGGATCTCTGACATGCCTTGGGCAGATGGGACTCCAGAGTGACCCCTGCAAGGTTCAGGAAACCCAATTTAAAGTCTGGATATTTTTGAATTCAGGATCGTATACAGTAGGTTGATATTCGGGGCAGAATAATATGACTGGTAGCTACTTAGACCGGGTTGTATAGTTGGTGTCTCCACACCTGAAAACACGAACATGTGCTTACACTCCCATTCTGATAGCGGCGAAACCCCTGCAAACAGCTTGCCCGCCTGGCAATCCTCCGATGTAGCCAGGGCAAAGGTGGCCAATGCCACCAGAAAGCGCCGCGCCACCATCGCCGCGCGCAGAGACAAAACTGGTACGGAGATAATCTCGCCTTGGAAGGGTAGACAAGGCTGCGGTGAAGCAGAAAGAAAGCAGGGTTTAGGGTTCCAGGGTTTGGGGTTTAGGGCTGTGTAGATGGGGGTTTAGCTGAAGCCCCGAAACCCTATTCTGCAAATGTGACAAAGCCTTCAACCATAATAAGCCACTTGGGCACATAACAGAAACATGGCTCTACACAACAGTACAGAAGAAAAAAACACATCTGCTTAAAAAAACACCCTTGCCAAGGACAGCCCAAAATAGCAAGCAATAGCAGTCACCGATTGGTTCTGAGACCCCGAAACCGCAAACCCAGACCCCCGAGATGATCTAGAAAGTAGATCCCCTAATTTGGGGCCCTATACTACTAAGGGTACTTTATAGGAACCCCCATTAAGGGATCTACTTTTTTGGATCCTCCCCTAAGCCCTAAACCCTAAACCCTAAAACCCTATAGATCCCTTAAAGGGACCCTTAAGGGAACCCTTAAAGGAACCCCCACAAAAAGGGATCTACTTTTAAGGGGGTCTGGGAACCCTTTGGCTGGCGTTCTCAAGATTCCAAGACATATCCGCAAAGAGCAGCCTACTTAAAGAATCATGGGACTTAGTAACTGGGCTCTTTAAAGGGATCTATAGGGTTCCTTAAAGGGATCTATGGGGTTTAGGGTTTAGGGTCTACTTAAAGGATCATGGGACTTAGTAACTAGGGTTATAATTAGGGTACCTCTACTTATAACTACTTATAACCCCAAGTCAGGTACTTATAACCTCACTAACTAAGTCCCATGATCCTCCAAGTAGGTTATTGGGTCCTTTAGACCCCAGGGGTCATGAAAACACAGCCACCCTAAATCCTCAACCCTGTACACTGAAACCTATATCCCAAACCCATGACTATACCCGATAGCCTTACCCTACACCCTTTAATAGACCCTGCACATTATACCCTAAACCCTGAGCTAAAGCATACGCTCGTCTTTTGTTTTGCGCCAGGTGATAAGCGTCCTTCTTCGGCAGGTCGCGCCTGCGTGACGCCTGAGAGCCCAGGGGTTGTCAATCGGGTCTGAGTTTCGGATTTCATGGGCTTTGGGGTTAGGTTTCAGATTTCATTATGTTTTTTCATGAAAGTTTGCACAGTTTTACAAAACGTACTGGGACGATGTAAAGCTTTGCGGAGCTAAATGGGAGTTTCCGAAAATAGGGGACCCTAATATCTTGCCCTGAATAATAGAATCCTTATTAATTAAAGTACCACGAAATAAGGTGCCCCCAATTTTCGGAAATCTCCGAAATGAGATCCTGTAGGCTGTTGCTGGGCTGAGTGGAGGATCTCAACAGTTGAAACGTCGGCAGCCTCTGACCCTTAAGCTTCGAAGAATGGGCAAGCATGGAAATACCAGAAGCCCAAGGGTCCAAAGGACCCAATAATTAGGTACTCGGTTTTAGGATAATAGTTATGTAGGATACGATTTTGGAGAGTATATGATTATTAGGTACTTGGACTTTTGGAGTAACACAGCGCCGTCATGATCAGAACAAGGATTTGGGGCACCTTGTAGTAGAGTGACATGTATGTTGAGGAAACCTGAGTAGTTATCTTGGCAATTACTGGGACTTCTGTGTTAAAGCCTCCCTCGTTCATGTTCCAACTTTTAGCGCTGCACGGCCAGGGCTCAGAAACGAATATGATATGGGAATGCGGGTTTCTGGTTGAAGAAGTAACATCACCACATCAGTATCATCATTGTTGGCGTCATCGTCATCATCATACCAATGTCCATAGTAATTGCACTAATGGCATGCATCTGGGTTCAGACGGTGCTGCGACCGTGTTCCTCTTGTGGGTCTATTCTAACATGTGGCCTTGGCCATTATAGAATCAAAGACACTTGGAATGGGGGATGTTACGGCAGAGTTATCATTGAACATTTTGCCACAAACTGTTAAACCAACCAGGCTTTTGCCACCGCTTCAAACATCTACCGTAAGGATCCATGTACCCAAAAGTATACACTTTGGTCCCAAAGTACCTATATAGGGACTACTGTAAAGCCAATATTGTTTATACTATTTGGGTACGTGGGCCTCATACCCTAAGCCCATATAGAACCATTATGGATTCCTTGCAAGGAATCCCTATGGCACCCTTAAAGGAACCCAAAAGACCATATCTGAACCTCTTAGCTACGGTCGAAGCAGGAGCTTCAGATGTGAACTTTAACTAGGATGTGCAGTAAGCTAGGAAAAAAAAGGGCTCCCTTTGCGACTAACGCTTAGGTCTGCGGATTAGGGCTTGGCTTTCACTAGGATGCCCAGTAACCTAGGAACAAAAAGGGCTCCCTTTTTGGTATTGGGTAACTTTTTTAGGAGCCAGGATTTTTCAAAAAGGGAATACGGGTACTACTGGGCATCCTAGTTAAGGCCAGGCATTGCGGATCCAAGTGCAAGAAGCCCCCAAGACTTTAGGGCCTTCGGGCTTAGGGTTTAGGGGTTTATATAGGGGTTAAGGTTCTCGGGCTTAAATAGGGTTTGAGGTTTAGGGCTTAGGGTTTAGGGTCCCAGTTACGGGTTCGCATACTGTCCCGGGATTCTACCTGCACCTTACAATGGATGTTTGGTTCCCTTACCATGCAATAGGTTATCCCAAAAAATAGAATTGTAGGCTCTTGGTCCTCAGGACGCGAAGTTTGCACCGTGCCTGCATTGAAGCTGATCGTGATGCGCTGGTTGGGCGCTGCATTGGGCGGCACCTAAACTACTACTTGCTTAAGAAACCACCAAAAAATAAAAATAATAATCCCTATATTACCCCCATAAGAAATATATTTTGAACTTTTTGGTTGTTCTTAAGCAAATAGTAGTAAAGGGTTTTGAAGACAGAACTTGGTTCTCTGCCTCGAGGCCTTTCAGTTCACTTGCAGGGTTGCCTCAGGTCCTCTTCATTGTCGGGTTCCCAGAGAGCCCAATACCCCTTAATTAAGGAATATAGCTTAATCATAATATGAAGCCCTATATAATTTAAGCCATATTCCTTAATTAAGGGGTATTGGGCTCGCTGGGCTAGGGTTTAGGCTTTAGGGTATCTGCCTGTTGTTTTGTGCCCCGACTTGCTCAGTAGAAAGTCCTGCGCCGGGGAAGAGCCTCTGGGAAGGGATTGTTACACGGCTTTTGGGCAACATGTAACACCCCACAAAAAGGTGGGCAAGAGGCCTCGTGCTTGAGGCAAGATGACCGAGTAAATTTGGGTTATGAAGCTGAGTAACTGCCTACCTTAAGGTTTTGGAATGGAATAAGGCTTTGGGGTTGTGAGGTATATGCTCGTGTGATTACAACGGCGTTATACAGGGGTTCGATTACGAGTTCTTCAGATTTATGTGGGAGTTTCCGAAAATTAGGGGTACCTTATCTGGGGTCCTTTCAAAGAAGGATCCTACTATTTAGGGTACCATATTAGGGTCCCCTATTTTCGGCAACCGCCATATCTTTCTCAGAAAACGCAATCCCACACACAAGCTCAACCCAGGGCTTGTTAAAGGTCTACTACTTGGAGGCTCATGGGTAGTTATAAGGGTTCCTTTCAGGGTCCCTTTCAAGGGATCTATAGGGATTCTATACGGTTTACGGTCTACTTGGAGGTTCATGAGTAGTTATAAGCGGGTTTATAAGTAGGACAACTATGGCTACGACATTAGGGGACTTACTTATAACTAACCATGAACCTCCAAGTAGGAGGCTCTGGCGAACCAGGCCGTTAGATGTTTGGGCCCAGGACTTCGGTTTGACATGAAGATCTTGTTTGGGCTTGCTTCGATGACTTTACCTTTTGGCATTAAGGATTTGGGTGGTTGTCAATATTATGGTCCCTTTTTGGGAACCCTAGATATTGGGTGTCGTACTATAATAGGGACCCCAAAAGGGGCCCTAATTTTGACAACCACCCCTTTCAGGTCTCTGGCTTAAGGGTCCAAGATTGAAGCTGCGGAGATCCCGGGTTAGGGTTTAGGGTTTAGCGTTTAGGGTGTAGGGTTTAGGGTGTAGGGTTTAGGGTTTAGGGTACAAGTCTTACTAGGGCTTCGGGCTGAGGAGTTTAGTACGGTGCTGTACTAACAACGCACTGGACCTCAAACCCAAAGCCCGAAAATTTGCAACACGTCAGGGCTGTATGGTGCGGGGTTGCAACATGTTGCAACTCTAGTCGGTAGCACCCATGTAAGGCACCTGTATGGTTTAGGGCTGAGGGTTTTATGGTCTGAGGTTTTCAGGGTGATAGCAGTGTCAGTTACCTTCGAAGTCCTCAACAGCTTAATGTCTCATGAGTGGCTAGCAAATCTAAAACCAGATGTCTTCAACTGCAGCTGCATGCACCCAATGGCCGAGCCATGATGGGAAGATGAGCAGCCTGGGTAGTGTAGCTTGAGTCACGGTAAGGCTGTGTGAAGGCACTCGGCTTTTTAGGCAGAAGGGTGTTGGGCTTGCTGCTATCGATCGGGGCTGAGTTGGACGATATCATAACTTTATTGGGAGCCCTGAGGCAAAGCCCCTATGTTAGGCTCTACGTCCACGTTCGGGTTTGTACAGTTGTTTTCTGGTGCTAGGATTTGCATGGTCGGCATACAGCTACACAGTCTGTGTTTGGTTTGTTTCCAAACCAACTTCCGTCTTCGGCGACCTTCTCCCTAAACCCTAAACCAACTCGAAGGGACCACGCAGAACGCAGCCGTGAATCTGAACCAATCTAAGCCCTGCGCATCACGACTGAACCGTCTAAGAATCCCGCGAAACTCCAGACAAGGCATGGAGAAAACACCACTGTGAATCCTAATCTCTCAACCCTAGACCCTACACCCTGGTACACCAGACCCTAAACCCTGAAGGCAACCCCACCTACCCCGACAGTGTCCATCTAACTTTTCACAGGAGTGGCGTACCCGGCCAGAGAGATAAGGTCCAGTCCTTTGGGGTGCAGAGTG